GAGCTATGGTCATGGTCCCAAGCTTCAGCACTCAGTGTCACTGTCAAGTGTCAAGGTGCCAGGTGGCACCAGAGCTCACTAACAACTGAGATGTTGGATACTGACCAATGAGCGATCTTCAGAATCCTGCTGGAAGCCTCAGGACTGGCACTAAAACACCAGACAGTCCCCCAAGACAGGAGAGAGTGAAGGGTGAGCTGGGCGTCACCATAGGTGGGAGCAAGAACACACTTTCCTTTGATGGGTGTTTTAGTTGCCACCTATTTAATCAGGAACCCCAAGGGGCAGGCTAGGAAGAAATAATCACAAACACATCTGCAATGAAAATATTTATTTGTGGATAATCATAGAGGTTGACAGACCAGCACAAAACAGACACAGCTACACCGTGCTGACAGGTGCTCCTGTCTATAGACGCACTGACAAGGGACAGTACACAGGGCTGGAGGACTTGGACCAGAGACCACCTAAGCCCAGAGCCTCCGCCTCCTGTACAGCAGGGGCTTGGGGGCCAGCTGTGCTTTACTCTAACAGTTAGGACCTCCAAAGAGTTGAGGTCTCTGGGAAGGAATAGTAGGGTCAGGCTGGCCCCAGAGGTGCAGTCTGTTTTCAGATTGGTCCAGGTTTGCAACACATAGGTGAAATTCTGACAAGGTCTATATCAGGAATTAGGCAGCTATGAAGCTAAGAGCACTCAAGAGGTCACCCATGTCTCATCCTTCAAGAGCTGTGTTGAATTCAACTCCATTTACAAAAATATTGACATCCATGCCTACCAAAATCCAAGGGGTCTTAGGTGTTTTATGGTAATTGGCCCGGTCTGAGCTTTGAGGGGATTTGGCTTCTGCCTTTCTGCTCTGTGGGACACTACAAGGATGTACTAAATAAGCCTCTGGGTCTTCTATTTGTCCAGTCACCCCCAGAGCATACCCTCCTCATGTCAGGCATGAACCAGGTCCTCATGAGCATATAGCTTGGAGACTTCCATGGCACCAAACCAGGTTACACTAAGGATGATGGCTCCTCCTTAGTGTGGGGACCGCCAGACCCTGCAAGGCAGGCAGTGAAGTGTGGCCATGGCTTACCCAACATCTCAGCCTGCCTTGGTGGGTCTGCAAACTCTATTGGATAGGCATTGAGGCATGGCAATGGTTACACCCCAAGGCCTTCTGGGAGCTTCCAAGATGGAGGGCTGAGTGGCAGACTCTGCCCTGTTTCCACCTACATAGGTGTAGGGCGGGAGCAGCCCTAACTGTCTATTTAGAGAGCTGATGGAGCACGGAGAGGTCCCCATGGCTTAGGGAGACCTTTACACCTGGAATGTGTATCCTGTCACAGAAAGACCAGAAAGTGCCCACAGGGAGCCGTTGGCATGGGTGAGCTAAGTTCACCTGAAGTGGGTGTTTTCCAGGGCTCAGCCTAAGGTACAGTGGGTAAGCGACAAGAGATGGGAGACTCCTCCTGGGGATATGCTCCTGCCTGACTCACATAGCAAGGAACCCTTTAAATAGGAAAAAAGAAAATCCAGGAATAACCCTGTGAGTTTAAAGATACTGTCTTACTACATCCTGCCTCAGCCTCTAGGGCTCCAGATCACAGCTCTGCACCTCCATGCCAGGCAAGAATTGTCCCTTAATACGATCCAAAATTAAATACTGAAAGTGTGCAAAAGGAGTTAGAAATCTCCTGACTCTGGTTCCACAGGACTGGAACCTGCAAATGCTCATCCAGCCACACCTGAAGCTGTCACAGGACGTGTAGGAAATGAACAGATTGGCACATGCATGTCCAGCTGTGCCTCCTCTCTGGGGCGCTCCTCTGTCATTCAAGCCATCAGAGAGCAGCATCCACTCAGACTGCTGGGACCAGGTTCAAGCCATCCCTACAGAGCCCACAGTTCTATGAAGAAACTTAAAGTGAACCACAACTGACCCTCAGGGGACACATTTTCTAGGCATCCACATGTGGGCTAAGGTCAGCCAGTGGTCACTGGGTATCTCAGAACTGCATAAGTATAGACCAGATACATAACCAAGTCAGTGATCACTCAGAGGGCAGGAAGGAAGCAAAGAGTTCCAAAATACATTCACTTCTTTCATCTATACTTTTCAGCTAGACAATATAAGGTTTGAATCAATGGGAGCTGGACACTGGACAATGGGGTCAGGAGGTGGCCAGGGGCACAGCAAGGACTCAGTGCTGCACCGGCCAACCTGCCTCCCTCCTTCAGGAGGACTCTGTATTCCTCAACAGGGACAGCAGAGGTTCTGACCTAACACCCAGTGATATTCTCTCACCCCAGATGGTGGTGACGACATCATATTGGGGACACAGCTAGCCTATGTGGCACACAGTCCCCTCCTTTCAGTACCCCTCTTAGGCACAGTGAAGCTGTCCCTGGCCACTCCCAATGAATAATCAAGCAGCCTTTAAAAACTGGGTTCTACCAACAGGAAGAAAAGCACAGTGTTATTTTTTACAATCACTAAAATATTGCAAAAGTAAGATAGAGTCACATGGTTGTCTAACAGGGCCAGGCAACGATTTCAAAAGAATGAGATGTCAGAATTTCCTCTTAGTCACCCAGGAGGTTGAAGGAGATGGACTAAGACAGTATCAAAGGGCGTCCCCGGGAGGAAGCAGGCAACACTGAGCTAACACAGCTTCATTTCCAAGTACATCATTTCATAACCAAACTGAGGAGAGTGAGAGTAAGGCAATTCTGATTTGGATACACAGGCAGCAGACCCTGTGCTTGCCGGCAGGCAGGCTGCAGACGTTTCTGTGGTGAGCATTGCTTCAGCCCAGGCCCCAAGATCAAAGCACTAATTGTTCCTTAGTCACATGCCTGACCCACAGCCTGTGCCCTCTGTCCCCTGGGCTCCAAGGCTGTGACACAGGAGGACAATTCAGAACACACCAAGTTCAGGACTTTAGGGGAAGTCCTCATGAGAGGAGAGCACTCACATGCTGTGTAAGCAAGAAAGGGTTTTCCCCAGCCCACTAGCTCTGGGCTACAGTGAAGGGCTAAGGCTCTCCTGGTGTGTTTGCAGAGTGTGGTCGTGAAGACCCAGCACACAGAAAACCTCCACACGCAGTACTGCTCTGCTAGGGAGGTCTTCACATCTCATCCCCCACACACAGGCTTTCCTCAGCCCTAGGCCAGAACTTATCCTTCATTGTGAGCATAACTGTGTGAAGCCAGAGGTCAGCATCTGGGGCCTTCCTTTACTACTCTCTGCTTGTTCTTTTTAGACAGGGTCTCTCCTACTGAACCTGGAGATTACCAGGGGAACACTGTCAGCAGAGCCCCAGGCATCTTCCTGTTTCTGCTTCCCTGCTTCTGAGGTTATGGATGCACACTGCAGGACCACACTGAGGCGCTGGGGACTGAACTCGGGTCCTCATGTTTGCATGGTGAGTACTTCACCAACAGTACCAGCTCCAGTGCAGTCTCAACACTCCAAGTGGGAAAGGAAGTTTTCCTCATTGCTGGCAATGTGGTGTTCCTGCTCTCTGGGGGACAGTGATGGGCTTTTCCATTGACTTAGGGAATGTTGTTCCTCCCTTCCAGGCTGCTGGCCATGGCTTTCCCTCTTCTGGTCAGCAATCAGGAGACACATGCCAGAGAGCTAGCTATCCTGGCCTGGGGTAATGATGGACAAGGTAATTTTTAAAAATTACTTCTGTTTTTTGGGCTTCTCAAGTTGCCAGGCTTAACAACAGAAAGGTGAGAATCTCAGGATACGGGCTGCTGAGAAAGTGGAGCTGGACTGGGGGAGTCCATGTGACCAGTGTCTCCTTCATCTAGGGCACTTTAACTGGGAAAGGGGAACACTGGGCCATGTTAAGGTAGGCTGTGGCTATCAAAGGCCTGCCTGCAGGGGGCAGCCAGGCAACCTTGGAGAACCTGTGCCCCTATGAGGCCACAATGTGGTCCCCACTTCTTCAGTCTCAGGAAACTGGCTTCTCAGAAGAGGTGAATCTCAGGAACGAAGGTTCAAGGAAACTGACATGCATACTGAGATTCGGGAAAATCATATGAAGACAGCCCCTTACAGCTATGACTTAGGATCTAAAGTGTAGGATGTACAGCCAGGAAAGCCACACTTGACCATGGAAATGAACATGTCCCAGTCTCCTGCAGGGGTCTAATGGATGCCCTGGCACACACAGTGCCAACATACTCTCTATAGGACCAGGACTGCCAAGGGAGCAGAGAGCTAGCCAGCTTCACATAAGGGTCTCTTGATCCTCCGCATGTGGTGCGCACAGAACAGAATTGGGGAGAGGACCCAGGATTAAGTATGCCACCAGGGAGCAGGAGCCACCTCTGCCTCTCCTTCCCTGTCTGTCCAAACATGTCTGCAGCAATGTACTGTCCCCAGCAGTACTTCAAAAGTACAGTACCACCTCACAGTACAGAGTGTGTCCCCAGCAAGAGCCCAGTGTGAACTTCCCAAGCCACCTTAGCCTCAGCAGCTGACCCCTATGTTGGTCAGTTTCTCAGAAGTTGGTCCCAAGTTATAGGAGATCCTGCTGATACCCAAGAGGCTTGAAGATCCTCTGCAATGTTGAGGGCCTTTACAAGGTCCCTGTCACAGTGACAACATGCTTGTGTGCCTACCGAAGCATGAGGATATATACCTTCTTCCCATACAGTACAACAGTTGCATAAGTCCAACGTCCTGGGAGACACTAAGAGCAGCAGAGACACACAGAAACTAATGCAGGGACAAGGGTAAGACCAGAATGGCAATGAAGACATTTGGCATAATTCTTCCAGATGCCAATGGTTAAGACCTAACCCAATTTTAAAGACAGTGTGCCTGCAGGCCCGGTCCCAGCACAGTCACTGGAGGCATGGGCAGCCAACAGAAGCGTCCACAGGCCACAGGCTTGCCTCCTCCACCTACCTTCCACATACCTGTGAGTCTACATGAGGCAGTCAGGAGGCCCACGGCCTTCGGGGGGAAGGGGTCATGTTTCTGAGTCACATATTTCTGTGACAGCTTTGTTATTATTTTAAAAAGCCATGATGGCACATTGTCAGGATTGAGACAGGCTGAGGCACGACCCTCAGGAGGGAACACAATGTTAAGTTTCAGTCATGGCTCTAAGGCAGACTTCACAGCTCTCACAGGGATGGAAAAGGAGACCCCAGCCAGCACGCTGCTGTGTCAGGCGAGTCCACGGCCCTCACAGCACGGTGGCCTGCACGATGATCTCAGGGTCCTCGATGTCCTTTTTGCTCTGGACCATCCTCAGCTCCAGCTGAGCCGGGCTGGGCTTCTGTCCCTCTCCTGCCTGAGCTGAGGGACACAGGCAAGATTAGAGAAGGTGGGATGCAGCCTGAGGCCCCCCCTCCTGCCCACAGGGGAGCCCCTGCTTCAGAAGGGGCTCCACACTGACACCTGCACCCTCATTCTAACAGACAGCAGGATGCAGAGCTGAAGGGAGAGCTCCCCCCCTCCTGCCCAGCCCCACACAGGGAAGACCTCCAATGAAGGCAGAGCAGGAGGGTAGGTACCTTTTGCACACCGGATGGTCCTGTCCAGCACGTGTTGCATGGCAGACACAGTTTTCTCACAGGCCACCTGTGGAGAGGACAGAGACATTGCTTGCCTTGGTCTACGTGGGTAAGCATCACTGTCCAGAGGACACCCCACAGGCACCAGCTGCCTTAGTCACCAGGAAGCTGGCTCCACTGTCACTTTCCCCACTACTACTCTGAATGTCCCCATTCACAGTGGACACAGATGGGCCCATGGGGCTGACTGCACAACTGTCCCCAAAGAGAGGTCTCTGCATTAGCCTGTATCTGGAATGTCCCCCAAAGCCCACTCCAGAGGCTCAGCCTTCTGCCTGGGTGCTACTGAGGGGATGACAGCTTCTGGGAGTGAGGCCTGGTGCAAGGTCTGGAGGTTTGGGAGTGGATGGTGTAATGTTATCTCCTTCCTCTTTGATTGCTGGATCCCACCATGATGCAGAGCAACAGGTCTTAAAGCAATGAGGCCGTCTCACATGGACAGACACCCCTGAAACCGTGAGTAGAAAGAATCCTTTCTTCTTAATTCTCTCAGGTATTTGTTATAGTAGTGGGGAAAGGGTCAAGCAGACACCACCTATTAAATTAATCCCCGGTGTGGATGGAGATGCCTCATGGTAGGGACAGCAGCTTTGGGCTTGTCTATATTGTGCATTTTCGGCACACAGCAAGTGTGTAACAAGACTTCCTGGGAGCAATGAGTTTTATAGACTCCATAAGGGAAAGCACTGCTGCTCACCTCTCTCAAGACCAGAGGCCTGGGGGACTCAGCAAGTACCCAGACCCTCAATTCCCTACATGGGATGGTTGAACCGGGTTTGCCCAGATAACCAAGCTAGGCCTTTCTCTTTCTTCCCTTCTTCCCTCCCTCCCATTTTAACCTATATTCCCACTGAAAGTACAGAGGTAGTTATGGAGAGGAGCAACTCGTACAACTGACCTTCAGATTGTCTGGGTGCTTGTGTGTCCACGCCAGAAGCATGGCAGCAAACAAGTCCCCAGTGCCCACGAAGACGGCATTCACCTTGCGCATCTCCATCCGGATGCGTTGGGTCACCGTGGAGCCATCAGGCTTCCCTAGGGAGGACATAAGCCAGGTCACTGGGTCTGAGACTTCTCAGCTAGACAAGGGCCGCCCCTGCAGTGGGAACCTGTCAGCCTGACTCATCCCTACTTCTCCTGAAGTGATAGAAAGGTTAGCACTGTCCAGCCTTAGGAGTGGCCACACATATGTGGTGTGCATCCTTCAGGAGCTCTGGGTCTCCATGTGGGCTGTCATAACTGTCCCCCATTGCCACCAATGTCCCAAACGGGAATGAAACACTGGACCCTTAGAAGCTGAAACTAGCATGGCCTTACACAGTCAGAGTGCCAGGAACAGCCTGGGTGCACTGCTTGTGTGTGAGTGTGAGTGTGTGTGTGTGTGTGTGTGTGTGTGTGTGTGTGTACAAGTGTGTCTGTGTGCCACAGGAGGATTCAGATGCCTTCCCTATATCCTTGTGCATCCAGAACACTCAGTAGAGACAGTGCGTGTGAACTTGGGGTTCCTGTCAGCCTGTGGACCAGCTCTGTGCTGGGACATTATTCAAGCATAATTAACTCATGTGCTGTTTGTATAACCAGTCACTGAATTCAGCAGAAACCTACTCCCTGGAAACTCCTGAGCCACAGAAGCCAGACTCAGCTGGCCTCTGGCATAAGTCACTGATGTACAGTAGTTCACCAGAAAGGAGAGCCTGGTGGTCCCAGCACAGCACGGATAGTTGAGCATCTGGCCAGTTGGAGTGGGTGAGCCTTGCATGCCCCCAGTACCTCATCTAGCCTCCACCCCCTGGCTCCACACAGCCCTCTCCTGAACCTTCCTTCTGTCTGACTCTACTGAAAGGCAAGAGGTACCTTCCACTTGCTAACTGAGTCACAGTCTCCCTCCTTGAGCCCCACATACTCTCTGGGGCCTGAAAGCCATGGGCGAAGGAAGCAGATGGACCCGAGGGGCATGCAAGGGCAGGTAGAGCAGGCACTTACGCATCCTCTGGCTGCCCAGTGCGATCAGGTAGTCAGTGCCCTGTGGGGAGGGCAGGTCAGAGCTGGTGATGACCACGGTGTCAGGACCCATGCAATGCAGCATGTCCATCACCTGCCAGCAGCAAGGGGAGAGTGTCAGCACATCCAGCCACGGTGGTTCTTCCTGACAGACAAGCATCTCAAGGGGACAAATCCTGGTGGGACACTGTCCTCTGCCACCAGAGCTCAAGCAGCCAGGAGTGACTAGCATGCTACAGGCTTCTAGAAAACCTGGGACATTGTACACACACATGGCCAAGCCTGTGTCTGCCACCTGTCAGGGCCATTGAGAGTTCAAGGACTGGAAATAAGTGGATGCCTGGAAGTCCCAGCCTGACTCCTTAGGGACTGGGAAGCTAGTCATGATAGCAAGCTTCTCTCCAAGATGGCTTGTCTTTATTTTTGCTGTTTGTTTATTTATTTCAGGCAGCATCATACTATATAGCCTTGGCTGATCTGAAATTGTTATGTAGACCAGACTGTTCTTGAACTTAGAGATTCACTTGTCTCTGTCTCTCAAACGCAGTGAGCACTGACACCTGGCTCAAGATGGCAAAATTCCTGTAAACCTGATGGCTGCTCTGGAGAGTCTGCACTGCAGTGCTCACAGAGCACTTTCATTGGTGCCTAATGCAAGGGGCTCAAGAGGTGAACCTAGTCACCACTCCGCGCTCACAGTGGGAGACAACATGCATGGAGTTACAGTCTATATACATTCTGAGGTCTCTAAGGCCACTTAAGGTGGATAGGATGGTGACCCTGGTGTCTGGGACTGCTTGAGTGGGGCACAGAAGACGTATTTCATGGGGCTGGAGAGATGCCCAGCGGTTAAGAGCACTCAGGGTTGGATACCAGCACTAACATGCCGCTTCTCAACTGTCCTTAACTCCAGTTCCAAGGGATGTGACGCCCTCTTTTGGCTCTGAGGACTCCAGGGATAGACATGGTAGACACATGTGCATACAGGAAAACACTCACATAAGATACAAAGAAATAAATCTCTTAGGATAAAAGATGCCTACCAACACAGGGCCAGGGAGGAGCTGCCACTGCAAATTTCTAGTTGGCTCATTCCTGCTAACTGATTTAGGATGGTGTGAATTGAGTGTACTCAGAGCCGCACCAGGACATGAGGATGACACATGAGGCTGGCACACTGTGGGCTATGGGGCTCAATAGGTAAGATTGTGCCCAGTGCTTACACAGGGCCTGGCACACACTACGTGTGGTGACTGTTCTGGGCTAAAATGTGAAAAGATATATTGATGTCCTTACCCCCAATTTCTCAGAATGGGATTCTACTTGGCAATAATCTGAGGTCACAGTTGAGTGAATGGTACCACATTGTCATAAAAAGATATGATTGTGGGCTGGAGAGATGGCTCAGCTGTTAAGAGCACTGCCCATTGTTACAAAGGTCCTGAGTTCAATTCTCAGCAACCACAGGGTGGCTCACAACCATCTATAGTGAGATCTGGTGCCCTCTTCTGGCCTTCAGACATACATACAGGAGAACACAGTAGACATAATAAATAAATCTTAAAAAAAAAAAAAAATATATGACTGCAGTTCTATAAAGGATGGTGACAGAGAACCCAGCTGTGTCATGGAACAGCTAGGCCATGAGCTAATATTTTACACCCACAGTAAAAGGAGCTGGAGGTGGCAGGAAGGACTCCCAGGGGCCTCAGAGGGAGTGCGCCCTATTCCGCAACTGAATTTGGGGCTTTCAGACTCCAGCGCTGTGAGAGGATGCTTTGGTATGGCAGCTCCTGGTCACAGAGAAGGACACATGGTGGACTGAGTATAGAAGGGACAAAGGTACCCATCAATGACAAAGACTGGGTACTTGCCATATCTGAGGTCAATGCTCAGTGTCTTTTGAACAGGGCTATGTGTGAAGGTCTCCTTACCTCCAGGGCTTCTTCCTCGCTGTGGATTTTTCTGCCACTCAGCAACCTGGAAGACAGATGGGAGTGGTGAGCCAGTGTCTACAGTACAGCCATCCTGGCAACTGACCTACATCCCAAAAGAGACCATTGCTGCTTCTACTGGCCACAGGAACTGGGGAGGGAAGCGATACTCACGGAAGAGTGGGGAAGGGCAAGAGTGAAATGTGCTATCAGGGAACTCACATACACGGTGAGGTTCCAAACTGTAGTGAATACCTTTAGTGACAACAGTGAGAAACCACCACCTACAACCCCAGTGTCTCTCACCACAGGCAGGTAACCAGTGTTCATGAACTCTGATGGCCACATGACCAGCACAACCCAAACACCTGCTTCAGCCTGCTGACAGCACAGGCCCTCAAAGAAATGACATCCCTTACTTGGGAAATACTCAGGGCTGGGGCCCTCAGTCTAAAATCGCCCACCAGTGGGTGCATCCAAGGCTTGCAGGTTCCCTGCTCATAGGACAGAGAGGCCTATGCCTGCAAGTCTGGGTAACTGGAAGGTTTCTTAGAAGCTGCCTTGAGCTAATCAGGGGCCATGTGCTCTGAGCTCTGACAGACATCTGTGCCCTGCAGTTCCACCCAGGGGTGTTCCCAGCCACATGAGCCCTCAGATGGACAGGTATCACCTCCTCTTTCTCTTCTTGGAGCATCTTCCCAGCAGAGAGAGACTGTGAACCAACATGATCATGACAAATGACCAGCGAGAAAGAGCACTTGTCATTGCCTTAGAGGTGATGGGAACAACTGCAGGGGTTAGGGACACATGTTTATAGGGACAAGGGTGACATGACCAGTCTAGTGCAGGCCAGGCTTTCTAAGGGCCACCTAGGGACCCCAGCAAGCAGATGTGGGGCTGCTAGGGCACAGTGAAGATGGTGCAAGGCTCTGCAGGGCTCACAGGGCAGCAGGCCCTTCCGGCTATGCAGTTACTTACTCAGCTTCAAACTGGTTAGGAGTGATGATGTCTGCCACAGGCACCACTTTGTCCCTGTACACAGGAAGGAGGTCCTGAGGAACGTACTGCAGAGCACAGGAGACAAAGGAGGAGACTCACTCACAGAGAAACAGAGCCCAGTGGAGGAACCCTCCCAAAGCCTAAATCCTGCAGGGAGATCTGGCATTGCCACCACAGCTGAGGCCCCAAAGGGACAGGGACAGAGAAGGGTGTCACCAAGGAAGAGAAGGGCCTGGAGCAGGAGGTGAAGGCCTCATTTCACCAGAACCAGAAGGGAGGACGGAAGTAGGGAGCTAAGACATAGAATCCCATGGGATGTCTGTCTAAAGACAGCCTGGGGTCCTCAGGTCCTGCCAGATGGGGCTGGGCCCTCCTGGTTCTGGTAACCTGAGTCCAGAGGAACCTCATCTCCTAAGACATACTTGGGAGCCAGTATGCTCTGATCATCTCAATTTTGTATAACTCAACAGAACAGTGCTCGCCCCACCCCCGTTTTTTCCTGAGATGGGTTCCCAGAGCAACCTATCTTCCTTTTCCTTCCAAGGAACTTCCCATTTCCTTCCAAGTCCTGAGATTACCGGTGTTGAGTATCCAAGGCTAGCTTAGAACAATCTTTAGCATTTTTTAAAAAAATTATTTCCTGTTGGGGATGGACTCAGGGCCTGAGCAAGAATAATCTACACTTTCAATCTCCTTTTTTTTTTTTTAAAAAAAAATAAATGAATCTATATTGGTGTTTTGCTTGCGTGCATGTCTGTGTGACAATGTCAGATCCCCTGGAACTGGCAGTTGTAAGCTGCCACGTGGGTGCTGGGAATCGAACCTGGGTCCTCTGGAAGAGTAGCCAATGCTCTTAACCACTGAGCCATTTCTCCAGCTCCCCAAGCTCCTTTTTAAAAACTTTTGATTGAGGCTAGCCTCAAAATCACAATCATCCACCTCAGCTGCCCACATAACTAGGATTACAGACACCCACTACCATGTCTGGTTCCTGACATGTGCAAGTCTCACATGAGGCTCTGTAGTAACTGTCTCTTCCCATGATGCTTTGTGGCACTGGAGAGAGGTTCAGGGTTCCAATCTCTCCCCATCCAGTGGCTGAGGAATTTCCCTCAAGGTCTAAGGTGCTACAAAGATGGACTCCCAAACGGATGGGACCGCTTGCACAGCCCAACCCATAGATTCAGATCTGACCATGCCATAAAAAAAGACCCTTATACAACTGAGTTTGATGAATGGCACCCATATCAGTCAGTGGTAGTGCCTGTGGCTTGCACGTGAGAGGCCCTGGGTTTGAACCTAACTTACTGTCTTGAATGTAGGCAGTGGTTCTCAACCTTAACACTGCAACCCTTTACAATAGTTCCTCATGTTGCGGTGACCCCAGCCATAAAAATATTTTTGTTGCTACTTCATAACTGTAATTTTGCTACTAAGTACCTGACATGTGGGATATATGATCTAGGTCCTCCAGGGAAGTCATTTAATCAAAACCAGTATACAGTACAGTGACACTGAGCCTGGAGGAGAGCTCTTTAGGACCCAAACACCAGCATCTCCTAGATTGGCTGGGGACACTGAGCAAGCAGCATCAGGAGGAAAGGGGGAAACCTGGCCCAGACACTGCCCTGGCCTCCACTGACACAGCAGGGCAGTAAGACACTGGTCCAGGTGAGTCCTGCGCTGGTGTAGACTGTGTGTGGCAGGATTTCACAAAGAGTAATGGATGAATCAGAAGCCAACAAAGAAGGCAAATGTCAGGGTGGTCTGTAAGTTAAACGCTGACTTTGAAGCCTTGGGCCTCAGAGTTGCAGCCTCCCATCTCCAATCTGAGGTTTATGTGACAGCCAAGGGTTACTCTGACCTACCCACTGCATGGATTTGAACAGCTAAAGAGCTCAGAGTGACTTCCTCGTTGTTAAATAGAAGGGGAAAATGGCAGAAGAAAAGACATTTGCATGAGAAGGTGCTCTGGCTCTGACATCCATCACCACATTGATCTCCAGTGTGGACAGGCTGAAGTAGCCTGCTAGATGTCCCTTTGTCGCCTTCCTCCCTGACTGCTTCATATGTACCCCTCCTGAAACTGCACAGAGAGGACGCCTCCCCTGGATGGAGGACTGCTGTCATGCAGTCAAGGGTAAATGGCCAGCCTTCTCTAGGGCAAGCTTTCAAGAAGAAACAAACAAACAAAAAACCAAAAAAACATTTGCAACAAGAGAAACTCATAGTAAATTCTTCCTTGGTGCCACACCTGGACCTTTATTAGACAGCTAGCTCACTGCTGACAGACTGTCTATGGAACACACCCCAATGCCTGTCCTCTATTTGACCAACTTCCTAACAGGCACGCGTCTCAGCCTTGTATGGTGGCCATACCAGTTTACCCGAGAAGGGGACCTTCTCTTGGCTCAAAGCACAGGCACAGACCAGTTGTTTAATAGCAGAGTGAGTGTACTCACCATGGAGCCTTCGCCATTCCACTTGTCGCCCATCACGGGATCACACACTGTGGAGACACAGCATCTGGTCAGCAACTGCTATAGCCTCCTATGACAGACCTCCACTGTGTTTGCTTTTCCTTCTGTTTTGCTTTTTGAGATGGGGGAGCTGCGGGGGTCACTGTGTAGCCCAGGCTAGCCCTGGACTCACAATCTTCCTGCCTCAGCCTCCCATGTAGCTGAGAATGCAGGCATGCACACCACAACTGCCTCCATATATAACCCTTGCTCTGACAGTGGGTGTGCCTGCATGTACACACATGTGCCATGTGTGCAGGTGTCCAGTTCAGAAAAGGGCATGGGATCCCCTGTTATGGAATTTACGGGCGGCTAGGAGCCATCAGAGTGGGTGCTTGGAACTGAACTCGGGGCTTCTGCAAGAGGACAGCTGATGACAGCTGCTCAACTTTGCCCTGCCTGACTTTGAACTCATCACTTTGTAGCTGGGATGACCCTGAGCTTCTGAGCCTCTGAGTACTGGGATCACAGGTGTATATAAACCCTCACATTCTGTCTATGTGGTGCGGGGGATCAGGCCTGGGGTTTCATGTATGCTAGACAAGCACTCTACCACCTGGGACACACCCCTAGTCTCTCATATTTTAACAGCACATCTATAACAATCGTGTGCCCCAGCACCTTGCACTTCTCTGTTTGAAGACAACTAGGTCCTCCTTGGGATAATTTCACATGTAACTTACCATCATTCCTGCCTTTTTCTCAAGAACACATTACCTCAGGTCACCTGGACTGGCACAGTGCCCTCCCCTGGCCTGGCTGAGAGAATGCTAAACCAGGTTTCACAAATCTTCCCAGGTTCAAGCACATTCCCTTGGACACAGTTCACTGCATCGACAAAGCAATGTGCTATTGGCCTTCAGGGCAGGGCACACTGTGCATACCTGGGAAACTGGTAATTAGGATCCAACCTCAGTCTCCATAGTTGGTTAACACTGTCAATACTCTTGGTGGCCCATGGACATAGTGTTGTTGCCTGGAAACTAGTGCCACTCTCCATGCAGACAAACTAGATACGGTGTGTCCTCCCCATCACCCATCCCCTAGTTTGGCCCTGCCTGGGATACCAACCCAAGGTACATCTTTAGGGTCAGATCGCACACATTGGGCACCCCAGGCCTTCACACATTTTTAACCCTTCCTTTATATGAACCCATGTGAAAAACTTCCCAATCCTCCTGCTGAGCCAGCCCACAAGCCTTCTCCTTAGAGGCCCCATGGATTAAATAACTGACCAATAAAGACCAAGCAGGAAGTGAGTTACTAGAAGACAGTAGGCTGAGCTGTCCCTTCCCTGAGGGTAAGAGCAGCAAGGGACACAGAGTGGGAAGAGGCACCATGGCCCAGCTCTCACCGTACACAAGCTGGGAGTTCTGCTGCTTCAGCTCCTGCACGATGTCCACCACCATGGCCAGGAAGGACTTGTCTCTCGTGTAACCTTGGGAGGGAAAATCCAGATTTATCCTCTCATAACAGGTCACACTGACCACCAGGGCATCTGCCCGTAACAAGAGCCATCAAATCAAGCATGCATGAGAGTGGGGGCAGGCCAGGGAATACGCAAGGTCTCCAAAAGTCTGTGCTCATAGAGGGGGACCCAGGAAGATCCCAGGTACATGAGTTTTGAGTGACTACAGATAATCTGCAAATCTTCCACTTTCAACAAAACACATGACTTTAAAAAATATATTTTTATGTGTGTGCCTGAGTGTATGTCTGTGTACCACAAGTGTGCATGAGAGCTTAGAGTTCAGAAGACAGTGTCAGATCTCCTGAAGCTAGAGTTACAGGCAGTTGTGAGCTACCATGTGTGAACTGGGAAATGACCCTGGAACCTCTGCAAAAGTGCTAAGTGCTCTTAACCAATGAGCCATCTTTGCAGCTCCTGTGTCTCTTTAATTTGTTTTTAACTCAGGGGCTAGAGAGGTGGCTCAGCAATTAAGAGCGCTGGCCATTAGTCCAGAGGTCCTGGGTTCAATTCCCAGGACCCACATGGTAGCTCACAATTGTCTCTAACTGTAGTCTAGGGGATCCAGTGCCCCTTTTGGGGGTGCAGATGCACATGCAGACAAAACACCTATATACATAAAAACACATAAATACATTTTCATTTATTTGTGGAGGCAGGGCCTCACTATGAAGCCTTGGCCAATACTATGTAGACTAGGCTTGGCCTACAAAGCAAGTTCCAGAATAGCCAGGGTTGTTACACAGAGAAACCTGTCTCAAAAACAAAACAAAACAAACAGAAAACTAAATTGGGGCCCTGTGATGGCTGACTGAATAGGGATGCTTGCTGTTATATATGAAAACCTAAGTTCACTCTCTGGGACCCACATGGTGGCAAGTCCTCTGTACACATGCCATGACACCATATATGTAGTAAGTAGGCTCAATACGTAGAAAATACAACCAGAAACACAACAGATGAACTCATGTGGCATTTCACTTTCAACCGGGGTGGCAGAACTCTAAGGGTCTCCAGAAAGTGTTGGTGCCTAGTGCACAACATGACCTTCGAGGAAGGAGGCAGAGACCAGGCCTGAGCCTGGGGAGAGGATCTGTGCTTGACCTGTCACCATCAGGCTGGGGACCTTGCACCAGGACCCTGGGGACCCTCACCAGTGAGTACGTAGTCATATTTATTCACGCTGTTCATCTTGAGACCTTCATACAGTTCATGCAGCTCCTGTGAATTCAGCACTTGGCCCTTCCAATGGGCATAGCCTGCAGGAAGAAAACAGGCTAAACTGTGGGTGTGGGAGCCCCAGGTTTCCCTGGTGACCATCTCAGCCGATGACAACAACTACCCTCCTTGAGGAGACCCAGTGAGCAGTTCTTCTGAGGGCTGGCCTTAGGCCCAGACTGGATGCTCTGGGCCCAGTGCCTCAGTGGCAGCCGATACCCTGGAAGCACCCAGTTCCTACACCTTGGGAGCGAAACAGTGGTCTCCACCCTATCGAATCGATCCAGGGCAGCAGACACTCAGTGCCCTAGGTAGCCCTGTGGAACTGTGTCCCAGAAGATGTGGACAGGGACAGGAGGGCACACAGCTGTTTACTTCTGCATTCAACAGAAGAATATTAAAGCAGACCACCCAACCCCTCTTGTTAGGTGTTGCCAGAGTGGAAAAGCACAGACTTGCAGGTCACCAGTTGTCTGCAGGAGGACACAGCAGCACTCCTACAACAGTAGATGCTATATGACTGTTGGCTTAACAGAGAAGGAAACTGAAGCATGGAGGTTTTCCCACCAGTCAGCTCCAGAACAGTGGTCACACACATTAGCCATGGTGTGGGGTAGGCCCTACACAGAGTGGCCCTTCTGGGTTCCATCCCCTGGACACAAGAGGTGGCACCTACTTCCCTCAGGGCCAGGTCACATGCCATGCTCACATTCACCATGACTACAACCTTGTACTCCTACCTGTGTGATTGGAAAACTGCACAGAGTTCACCGCATCAACCTCAAATCCCAAAACCTGCAGGACAAAGAGAAGAGGTGGGTGAGTGCCTGTCTGTGACCCTAAGAACCTAGGGCAGGGGTCCCAACCATGGCTAGAGTCTTGACTTGAGGAGGCTGACAGATGAGACCCCACTGTGTCCACCTCCGACCCCTAATTCAGGTCCCAGGCTGACTATGTCTGCACTCCTGCTCTGTCTCCTCCTCCTGTGTGCTAGCCCACCATTTTCCAGCATCTTTCAGAAGGTTGGCATCTCAATAGCAGCATCCATGCAGCGCCCCTTTCCTTTCAGGGTGGTCTGCCTGGCAGAAGGATCGATCTCCTTTGTTTGCTCAACTCCCCAGGTATGTCATTCCCCATTTAGCAGATGGCTATCCCTAGAAACAGAGTTCCCCTTAGCTAAGCCTTCCACCCTCCCAGCCAAGTCTCACCTCATGCCCACTTCTATAGCAATACCAGGCAAGGGCCACTGAACAAAACCCTGTGTAAACACATTCCACAATGCAGAAGCCACCAGTATAAGGGCCAGAAAGAGGGCCTGCCAGGATATGAAAGTCAAGGGTCCAGGACTTAGGAGGAATTGGCCTAATGGCCATGACTTTGTCTACCACTGATATACACAGGTCATGACCCACTGGAGACTTAAGCAGTGGTTCTCATCCTGAGGGTCCAGACCCCCAAATGGGTTTCATATCCAAGACCCAGACAGGGGTCTTATATTAGATACCCTGTGTATAAGTCAGATAGTTACACCATGAATCAGTAGAAAAATTACAGTTCTGAAGTAGCAACAAAATAATTTTATGGTTGGGGGTCCCCACAATATGAGGAACTGTATTAAAGGGTCGCAGTATTAGGAAGGTTGAGAACCACTCTAGACTCTGGTGTGACAGAGATCAGGTGTATGAATGCTTCATAACACCTTTGCCAGAGCCTCAAGGTAAAACAGAGTGCTGAGGACTCCCTCCACTAGAACTTCTGAACAAAAGGAGCCCTGGGAATCTGACCCACGCACAACAGAGGGCAGAGACGACAGTGACCAGTGTGGAGTGGCAGAAAATGGACCTTTTACAGCATCGCTCCTTTAAAACCTTAGGTGCTTCTGATGGGGCAGACAAGTGGGCTGCCTCACCTACAGAACCTCCTGGGTGATGCGAGGCAGCCTTCAAGGCAGCAAAACAGGGTGAGAGCAGGGAGAGAAACAGATGCTAGAGACAAGCCTCGGGTAGCATCAGGAGAGTGACTGCCCTGGGGGAAAGGGATAGAGGCTCTGGGTGTTGGCCACATGCCACACAGTTTGTGTGACGGTGTTTGCTTTGTGATAAGCCATTGAGCTCAAGTGCTTATGGTTTGCATTCATTGGCTCATCCCCCAAAATTTAAGCCAGTATTATCGCTGAAGCAATGCAACAAAAATTAGCAGTCGTATTAATCCAGAAAAGTAAGAGCAGCACTTTGCAGATTTGCTCACCTATTCCAGACTTCTGTGCACCAATATAGCTTCCAGCATCTCAAATCCCTTAAAATTCTGATCAACCGTGATGAGCCAGGCTGGAAGCGATGATGACACACGTCCTGGAAACCCTGCCAAGCTGTCCTACCCCCGCTGCCTCTGCGTGCGCAGATAATTAATCCTTCGGAGCTGGCGCACACATCTGAGAAAGGAATCGCTATTTTCTGCTTCTAAATGATGGCGCTGAGCCCCTGGACTAGCATTTCCATTTCAAACATTACTGTCAAAAGTGCTGTATTAATCAGTGTCACATGTGAGTGTCAGCATTTCCAGAATCCACATATACAAAGCTCAGCCATCCTCAGCTGGGAAGGCAAGGAGTCTGCAGTCACTTAACACCTCTTCTCAGCTCAAATCCATCCTTCTGGAAGGCTATGACTGTGACTCTGGAGATCACATCCCTGTAAAGTAGTGCTTCCTGGTCAGGTACTTCCAACATGGATAGAGTGAGACTGGACAGTGGAAGACAATGTGCCCACTCCCACTGGTTGACTCTACCCATCAGCACTCTTAGTCCCCTGGATGGACAAGCCCCATTCCCCACAGCTGCCTGCACTCCTTGCTAAGGCAGCCTTTAAAGGCCTATATGAGGTCAGTCCATTCTCACCCCTTCAATGGTCTAAACTGACTACTGTGTCTCCACTGTGCATTCTACCTCAACTCCAGATGGACCCCACTATGCCTCTCTTTAAGTTGTAGAGTTTAGGGGTTTCTGTAGTTCTTGGTTGAAGTCAAGACCCTTGACCACATGCAAAGAGCAGAGCCCAGCACCCCAGGCAGTAGGCTCATCCCCTGCAGTCCTGTGAATGCACACCAAGCTCATAGAGCCACTGGTCACTTTCTGCACTCCAAAAAGTTCTGAACACTCCACGCCATTGTCAACTCTCCTTCCTTTTGCTGTCTTGGAACTCGCTCTGTAGACCAAGCTGAACCTGCACTCAGAGATCTACCTGCTGCTGCCTCCCCAGGTGCTAGGATTAAAGGTAAGCACAACCGCCTCCACCAAACAAGCTTGTTTCTTAACCTGGAGGGCAGCAGCTCCCTATGATCCACACCGCGGCATCCATGGTTTCATTTATCCACGGCCAATGAGGTCCCCAAATATTGAACTCTGTTTGTGGAACCGGGAAGATGGCTCAGAGACAAAACACTCACCACACAAACAGGAGTCAATGTGAGGATTAGGTTTTGGATCCCCAGAACCCTGTAACTGTGGATGTGAGAGCCCTCAGGCCTCCACATGCACATACCAACACATGCATGTCCACACATGTACCACATATTTGTCAACATGCATCTCACACCACACACATGCCAAAGAATAATCTGTCTTGATGTGAGGTAGATAGGTGAGAGTGAGCACATATTCACTAACAGATTTTTTTAAAAGAGTATATTTTGTCTGCATGTATGCATGTGCCCGCAGTGCCTATGCAGGCCAGGAGATGGCATCAAATCCCTAGAAATGAAGTTACAGACCTTTGTGAGCCACTTTGGGTGCTGGAGTGGAACCTGGTCTTCTGCAAAGTGCTCCTAACCACTGAGCCATGTCTCCAGCCCTGCACTCACTAACGTATTTCAGCAGATAGGTAATGGCTACTACTACTACTCTCCTTTGCTACTGTTGTTAAGCCCAATCATAGATCTGTGAGCACAGGACAAAACACTTGGAGGGATTTCTTTTACCATTTATTATTATAAAACCTGGGGACAAATAAGATAAGAATCGGAAACAGCGACCACACACATGCCACCAGTTCACCTTCCAGCTCCAAAAAGGCCAAGCAATCTTCTTATGTCCTGACTCCACTAAGGACTCTGATCCATCTTGGCCAGCTGAATGTGAACTCTTTCTCCAACCAAATGCTCTATTCAACTGAACAACAGACCACAACATAAACAAAATTCCTGTAACACACACTCTATATACAGTGCTATCTTCATTTTCAGGTGTCTACCACGGACCTTTATTTGTTTGTTTTTCAAGACAGGGTTTCTCTGTGTAAAAATCCTAGCAGGGCGGTGGTAGCCCACACCTTTAATCCCAGCACTCAGGGAGGCAGAGGCAGGTGGATGAATAGTTCCAGGACAGTCTCCAAAGCCACAGAGAAACCCTGTCTCGAAAAACCAAAATAAATAAAAAAGAATTCTAGCTGTCCTGAAACTTACTTTCTAGACCAGGCTGGCCTTGAATTCACTGAGATCCACCTGCTTCTGCCTCCCCAATGCTAGGATTAAGGCTGGGATTAAAGGTGTGGGCCACCACCACCCGGCTAACCTTGGATTTTAGAACAAATTCCCTACAGATAAAGGGGACACTGCATCCTTTTAGCCCCAAGCCCTGCTTGTAATCTCAGTACTCAGGAGGCTGAAAAGGCAGAAGAATCCAGAGTTCAGAGTTCAGGGGAAGCCTGGGTTACACAGTAAAATGAAAGGAGGGAGGAGGGTAAAAAAAAAAAAAAAAAAAAAAAAAAAAAAAAAAAAAAAAAAGCCTTGCCTTCTGGCCTCTGCTACTCCAAACCTGCATGGGATTCTTAATCCCTATATTCCCATGGGTTCTGAATGAATGCTGAGCCAGCCAGATCACATGCTTGAGCTTACGGTGGTAAACTCACATCCACTACAGAAGTCACCAAATCTCAGCTGAGATGCATGCTAGAAAAGGCTTTTAGGCCAGGCGGTGGTGGCACATGGCTTTAATCCCAGCACTCGGGAGGCAGAGGCTGGTGGATCTCTGTGAGTAAGACCCGCCTGGTCTACAAGAGTTAGTTCCAGGACAGCCTCCAAAGCCAGAGAAACCCTGTCTCGAAAATCAAAAAAAAAGAAAAAGAAAGAAAGAAAGAAAAAGCTTTTAGTACAAAAGTCAGTGGAGACCCAGCTCTAGCAGATGTAGGAGATCTGGCTAACTGACTAGATGACTGTGTGAGCTGGGAACTAATGCTGGAGACCCAGTTGCACTGAGAGACAACAGTGTTGAGAACCACAGCTGGCAAAGGCACAGTTAGGGTTTGTCTCTCAGCACTAGACAGGGCTGCCTGACCTGCTCATGTGTGAGACTGGGGGCTGAGCAAAAGGGACAGCACCATCCTGTGGGGAAGCCTCTGGCTGTCCCCTGGGGTAGATAAAACATCCCAGACATAGCCTGTTATACTTCCTCCCTCCCACTGTTGGGCACAACAACACCTCCAGATGAGTGCAAGTGGCACCCAGGAAAAGGAAAGCCAAACAGGAGCAAGAAGCTTGCCTTTCCTGCTTCCTGCTGCCATGGCTGCCAGACACAGGCTCCTCTTCCTGCCCCTCATGCAACCTCAGAACACCCCCATCCCCAGCAGTGATGGGTACTATGCTGGGGTGGTTGTGTGGGCAGGTGCTGTACATCCCAGGGACCCCATACCCGCCTCCCCTGCTGCATCATCAAGCCTCCAGCAAAGAGGCACACACAGCCTGAAGCCACACAGCCAGAAGAGGCCTGTTTAGAACAATAGCAGAGCAACTCAGCACAGCAGGAGTGAGGTGAGCTCTGGAATATTCCAGTGTGGTTCTTCCACAGGCATCTAGAGACAGACAGGAGGGACAGGCCCAGAATCACTGGTGTTTCCAGCCCTGGAGAACCAGTCCCTGGCTGATGCTTGAGTCTCTTTCACAGATGGCAATCAGCAACCAGGCTGGACAAGCATCTTGTGACCATTGTCACCCCGAGCCACCTGACAGCCAAAGGCCCCACATCCCTCCCACCACTGGTCACTGCTCAGCCTTACAATCCAGCCAAACCACACCCTTTGATCTCCATGGTGAAATGCTACTAGACAGCCTGCTTCCCAAAAAGCATCTCTCTCCCTACCCTGTGGCCACCCCAGCCTGGCTCACAGCACTCCCTCCAGGATTACAGTGCTAGGCAGGCATAGCCAGGGGCCATGTCTAGCTGTTGGGGTCTGCCTTGTTGGGCACAGGAAGCCCTAAGGAGAGGGGCCTGTGCTGAGCCTACTGTGGCAGTCATTGGCTGACCTTGACAGCACTTATTGCTGCCAGGTCACTCTGAGACTAAGTGACCCAGATACAGGTTCACCTAGGTTCCAGGTGGTCACTGAGATGCAAGCTGGTCAAGAACTGTTCCATGACTCCCTTGTCTATCAGCTGGCCAGCTGCTCACATCTCACTCAGACAGCTGGGAGTGGCTGAGCTTCCAGGGGTTGCCAAAACAGCATTCCTGACCCCAAATAAGTTTCACAATGTGGCCTTAGTTCACCCCTACAGGCCACTATACCAGAGCTGCTCTTACTTACTCTGTGCTGTGGTCTCTCCCTCTACCAGAGGGCCTCTTGCATACTGCTCCAGGATGAACTCCCCTTCGTGCCCCAGAGGGGGTGGGGGTGACAGGCTGTCACCCACAGGACTTTACAACGACTCACAGCAACTGTCCCCTGGGTGGGCCATGCCTTGTCTACCTCAAGAAGAGTCCTCAGTTTAGCTACTCAAGGGACTGCTTTTCCAGCAGACAGTGACAGGTAAAGGGGCAAGCAGACAATGACAGGTAAGGGGACAGGGCAGGAGGTGTCTCTCCCTTCCACACATTGGCTCCTCCATCACAGCCAGGTGGCTGCCACCCTCAGAAGACCCAGCTTGAAGCCACAACTGTATGCAGAGCTTGGAGACCCCAGTCCCTGCTGCTCTGTTCCCTTTCCTAAGAGACAACTTGATATTACCAACCTTGCTCCCTTTCACTAGACCCTAAACTTGGACATTTTCAGATTCCTCTGAAAACAAGTGGGATAGGGACGTTATAACCCCTGACACACACAAAGAACATACATGTACACATACCCACACAGGGATGGATTCGCACTCACACACCCTTAAGATATTGATTCTTCCTTCCCCCAGCCTTTTTTTTTTTTTTGAGGCTGTCTTGGAACTAGCTCTTGTAGACCAAGCTGGTCTCGAACTCAGAGATCCGCCTGCCTCTTCCTCCCGAATGCTGGCATTAAAGGACTGTATCACCACTGCCTAGCCCCTCCTGCCTCTTGTGGGAGGATGTGGGCTGGAGGTGTAGCTGGCTCAAGTATTTTACTCAGCACGTGTGTGAAAGACCCTAGGCTCTGTCCCCAGCAGCATTTAACAAGGGGATTGGGAAGCCAAGCATGGTGGCATACCTCTTTAATTCCCATACTGGAGATGATCAGTGAGTTTGAGGCCAGCCAGGCCTACATAGTGCCTGGGCCACAGCTCAGTGGAGGAGCACTTGTTAAATATGCACAAGGCCCTGGGTTGGGTCCTTAGCACCACAGAAAACAAGAAGGGAAGACATGGTGCTGTCTAGTAGATGAGAAAGAGGCAACAAGGCACACTGGCCTTCACCCTGTTCTTCCCTGCAAAACAGCAGGAAACCCCCAGCTTCCTAGAGGCCCCCCACCCACACTCTCCCTTTACCCTCTTTCTGCTCTGCAAACCTTAAAAGTATTTTACTTGGTACCCCACTTCCTAATGGCTCAGCTCACGTGAAACCTTTGGCTACTACACCTTGGCCTGGGGCCAGCAGCAAAATCTGAAAACAGTAAGGGCTCTGCTGCCTCTTTCTATGATCTCCCAGGTGCCTGTGGGAGACTGGGGAGGCAGGAGCTCAGAAGACATTGCAGAGAAGACTGGGGAGGCAGAGCTGATGGTCCAGGTGTGTGGGTTTGTGCCAGGCCAAGCACAAGTTACCATCTCATCAACAGCTTGGTGTCAGGTCTACAGGGGAGGCCCAGATACTTCCCCAGCCAGCTGGGTGGTGGTGGCGCACGCCTTTAATCCCAGCACTTGGGAGGTAGAGACAAGCGGATCTCTCTGGGTTTGAGGTCAGCCTGGCCTACAAGAGCTAGTTCCAGGACAGCCTCCAAAGCCACAGAGAAACCCTGCCTCGAAAAACAGAAAGAAGCCGGGCGTTGGTGGTGCACGCCTTTAATCCCAGCACTCTGGAGGCAGAGGCAAGCGGATCTCTGTGAGTTCGAGGCCAGCCTGGTCTCCAGAGTGAGTGCCAGGATAGGCTCCAAAGCTACACAGAGAAACCCTGTCTTGAAAAAACAAAACAAAACAAAAACCCGAAAGAAAAAGAAAGCTAAATTTAGATGTTAAATCCAGACAGTGGCATGCCTTTCCATTTCTTTCCAGGACAGCCTCCAAAACAATACAGAGAAACCCAGACCAGTGCAACTGGGGTAGAATAAGAATAGGTGTGGGGGTGGGTGAAGAATTGCTTATCAACCAATAGGAGTTCAAGTCTCAGCAACCACCCTGTGCCTATGGACTTGAACCCCTGTACTGTACACCCATAATCATTTGCCCTATTTTGTCTGCCAAGCATGACAGCCTCAGGACAGCCCTAAGATTGTTCCTAGAGCTCTGGGCCAACTGTCTTCCTTCCAGGTCCTCCCTGCAGGTCCGCGGTAGCCAGGTGCTCCTTCCTAATGTCCCCCAGGGGTCAGTACAGCGGTTGAGCATGAGCAGAAGGGGTACAGGAACCTATCGCCTGGCTCAGTGACCAGCCAAAGAGGTACAGTGAAGAAGGCAAGGCCACCACCTGGCTGGCCAGGTCAGGCCAATCTTCCTGCTGGACCAGCTAGGCAAGGAAGTGCCAATCACCCTGACATTGCTTCTAGTCTCCGTTCTAATACCCACTGCACCCTGGTTCCCTCCTAGGGCCACCAGGTCACAAGCAGGAAGCACCGCGGATCAGAAACGATCACAGACAGCTTCTAGGGAAAGAGGCTCTGGGAAGACGATAAGGCTACAAGTCCTTCTAACAGGTTGCTTCCAAATCGAAACTCAACAAAATAAGCTGTCTCAAGATATAGGCAGGCCTCCAGATGGTGCAGGGCGGTTCCAGCCCTCTCCCGGCGGCTGAAAGACCACCCCAGGAGTAGTCAAACCCAAAGTGTGGTCCAGCCTCCTCCTGGTCTAAGCTCACAGAGTAGGCAGAGACAGAACCTGGATTTCAGCAGGAAAAGAGCAATCACCCGCCCATGAGTCTACCAAAAAGCTGTCTGCGCTTTCGCAGGGCAGGATCCTCCCAGCTCCGCATTTCATCGCCTCGGGGATCCCCCGCCCACCGCTGGCCAGTCAGCCGGAAGCAGCAGGGACCCAGGGCGCCACAGTCGGGCAGGGGACTTCGTGCCACCTGCACCACCCTACTTGTAGGCTCCCCAGGATACTCCACGCCCCCGCCTGCGTGCGCCAGGCTCTGTCCGCAGCGCGCCCAGTTCGCAACGGGGACCCGAGGGTGGCCGCAGTAGGGAGCAAGGTCATCTGTCCGGGGAGGCTACGCTGCGATCCAGCAGAACCTCCAGCAGCAGCACGATTTACATAAGCGGTGGAGCGCTTACCTGCAGCGGGAACATGGCCGCCCGGTTGCCCACGTAGCCCCGGACGACATGGCTCTGGATGGAGAGCACCCGGCACTCGCCCTCCATGCCGGGCAGATCGTGGTTGCGCGTTGCTCAAGCGGTGTCACGGAATCCGGCTACCCAGGCCGCACGTTCGGTCTCTTCTCCCGGTTGCCTTCAGCTCGCGCAGGCGCTGGTCTTGGACGCGCAGCCCGCCTCCTCTGACCTCAACAGGCCGGCTGCTAACTCGCGAGTCCCGCGCGGCGAGGGGCGGGCTGGAGGCGGTGCCACACGCAGGCCACGCCCCTCCGGGAAAAGGGACTTGTGGAATTGAGCTGGATGGGCTCCTCTGTGCTGCGGCACGTGAGCTTTCGTCTCTTCTGCAGACCTGAGTCTGCACCAGCCGGCACACCTGGGACACTCTCAGTATGGTACATCCATTCCTCACCATTGCGCCTCATTAGCCTGTGGCGCTGATCACCCTATGGGAACTGATGTCCAAAGGGCTCCCACGGAGCTCTAGGGCCATAAGACTTACAGATCCGAAGGATCCCTCCTGTCACGTGGCCTGTGTGGACTCCCAGACCCAATAAGGCTGTCTGATTTAAGTCGTCCTGGAGTTAAGCCACGTGTCCCTTCTCAATATCCCAGCTAGCCTCAGACTCAAGTCTACCTTCTCAGAGTCACTCATGGGGATAGACTTGTTCTGCTGAACTGGCTCTCCTCTTTTCAGCCCCTACACACTCAGTCCTGGGGAAAATGCCTCTCTCTCTCTCTCTCTCTCTCTCTCTCTCTCTCTCTCTCTCTCTCTCTCTCTCTCTTCTCTGTGTGTGTGTGTGTGTGTGTGTGTATGCGCGCGCGCGTGCGCGTGTGTTTGTGTGTGTCTCATGTCCCATCTCTAGATCCAGCACTTTGGAGCTCCAGTGGTCATGGATTCCAGGTTCACAGATTGGAGGCAGAGGCCAGCATGTCAAGTTTGCAGTATCTTGGTGAGAGTCCTGGGTTGGGGGCGGCAGGTCAGCTCTTAAGAGAAGAAGGATCATGGGCTGGAGAGATGACTCAGAGGTTAAGAGCACTGCCTGCTCTTCCAAAGGTCCTGAGTTCAATTCCCGGCAACCACATGGTGGTTTACAACCATCTGTAATGAGATTTGGTGCCGAACACTGTACACATAATAAATAAATCTTTAAAAGAGAGAGAGAGAGAGAGAGAGAGAGAGAGAGAGAGAGAGAGAGAAGGATCCGCATTCCTTAAGGTACAGATCAGAAAGAGGAAGTGGGGATTGAGGCTCAGTTGGTGGAGTGCATGCCAAGACCTTAGCTTTAATGCCAGCACCAGAAAAAAGTGAACAGAAAGAGGAAACACATTGTAAAGAATGCTTGACTGGGCTGGAATAATGGAGTACATTGTAGGAATAATCAATTGCTTGCTGATAAAAGCAATTTTTTTGGGGGGGGGTTGAGGCAGGGTTTCTCCTTGGCGTTGGAGGCTGTCCTAGAACTCTTGTAGACCAGGCTGGTCTCGAACTCACAGAGAGATCTGTCTGCCTCTGCCTCCCGAGTGCTGGGATTAAAGGTGTGGGCCACCACCGCCCAACTGATAATATCATTTTGTGCACATTTGGTGTGCACTAAACATACTTCATGCAACACACTGAATCTTGCCAGGAGCAATGGGTGCACCACTAATCTTAGCATTTGTGTGTGTGTGTCTGTTTGCTTTTTTGAGACAGGGTTTCATCATGTCTCCTGCCTGGCTCAGAACTCACAGAGATCCAGCTGCCTTTGAGTGCTGGGATTAAAGGTGTGCACCACCACACCTGGATCTGCCTTAGTTTACATATGCATGCATGAATGTTGTTATTCTACTGGACCTGGAAATTAGGCAATCTGGCTATGCATCCCCAGGGACCTGCCTGTTTCTACTTCCTCGGTGCTATGATTACAAATTCTAATTTCTTTTCTTTTCTTTTTTGTTTTTTGTTTTTCATTTTTTTTGAGACAGGGTTTCTCTGTGTAGCTTTGGAGCCTATCCTGGCACTTGCTCTGGAGACCAGGCTGGCCTTGAACTCACAGAGATCCGCCTGCCTCTGCCTCCCCTGGGATTAAGTGCTGGGATTAAGGACGTGTGCCACCACACCTGGCTGATTATAAGATTTTAAACCTTGAATCAACCACATGTCCCAGATTTTTAACCCTTAACATCTGAACAATTTGGGTTTGTCTTTTTGTTTACAATGCTGGGCTAAAGGATGGTTAGCAAAAGAAACTCAAGGACAGCTTTTAAATGGTGGCTATTGTCACTGTTAACTTAGAGCTCATATGTCTTTGTGTCCCCAGCCTAGGGAACTGGGGGATCGTATCTATGTAGCTGAGACTCTGGTCTGCAGGACACCTTCAGAAAGTCAAGTGTGGAGTTCAGAGCTGAGCCTTACTCAGTTTACCTGCACAAGCTGTCTCCTCTGCGGATCACTTGAGGATTTGGAAACCAACTGTGAACAGAAGCTCTCTGGCACAGAGCCCTTCGAGCAAGCACCCCTACCCATGGTTTCTGTCTGTCCTTTTCTCTTTCTGCTCATGCAGCAAGGAACAGCCTCAGGCTTTTACCACACTGTGTTGACCTTTCTCTAGAGTGACAGGAACTTGAGTGTGCCCAGACTAAAGTATGACTCTTGGAGACCACAGACCAAATAGTGTATCCCTCTTAGTTCCAAAGCAAGTTCTCTTTAGCCAGGAAGTAGTACCTGGCTCAACCACTGCTTTGCCTTAGGACATCCCTGGTGGGTTGGGTTGGTTTTGGCAGAACTCCCATCTAATCCAGGCAGGCTTCAAACTCAGATCCTTGCCTCAGCCTCCAAAGTTTGGCAATTATAGTCATGGATCAAGACACCTAGATGTAACCTTTTGATGAGTCTAACTGACTTTATAGCCCACTGGGTGGACTCTGGCCGCCCTGGGAAGGGTCCAGCAGGGTCCATGACCTTTCTGTGGCAAATTCCTTGCCAATGGGCTGGTTATCATGATGCCTCCAGTCTTGGCCTTCCAGCTTTCTCGGGAAGCTAGTCTAGAAAAGGCCTTTACTTTCAACCTTGGGGAAGGGAAGCTCCCTGCCCCCCAGCACACACACACACACACACACACACCACGCACGCACGCACGCACGCACGCACGCACACACGCACGCACGCACAGCACATCCCAACAAGGCATCATTCCCACCCAGGTCCTGCAGCTTGTCAAGCACAGTCTGGCCAGCTAGCTGACTTCTCTCTCTCTGAAGCTGTGGATCCAGCTAGGACCTCAGAGGACAGGATAGCTTGAGATTGCAGCCTTGAGACTAGTTTGCACAGCTGATGGACAGAACCTTAAAAGGAATTTTCTCATTTTACCAACTCCCCAACTAAATACTGTGTCTCCATAAACGGACCCCAAGCCAAGCCAAAGTTTTTTTTAAAAGCACAATACAGCTGAGTCTGTGGTCCCAGCACTAGGGAGGCTAAAACTGTAGTATCTCAAGTTCAGGCCAGTCCAGGCTGCCTCACTTGTTTCCATAAACAAAACAGAGAAAAACAAACTTAAAGCCCTGGGAAGAAAAGTAACCAGTTATTTGAATTGACTATTCTGAGCCTGCAAAAGTTGCCAGAACCACGGGGCAGGCATTGGTGGTGCACGCCTTTAATCCCAGCACCCGGGAGGCAGAGACAAGCTGAGAGTTCGAGACCAGCCTGGCCTCCAGAGCGAGTGCCAGGATAGGCTTCAAAGCTACACAGAGAAACACTGTCTCGAAAAACCAAAACAAACAAACAAAAAAACAAAACAAAAAAGTTGCCAGAACCTATGCCTGTAAGAGCAAGGTAAACCAAAGAGGATGGTGTTAACTCCATCCTTAGAAAAAGCCATCTTGAGAAATTGCCTGTGTGGCACAAGGCTGATTCAGCTCCAACCAAGGAGCCATAAACAGTTCCAAGGAGCACCTAAACTGTGCCTACCCCAGTCAAAATGACCCCATCTGGGCAGTTAGGCAATGGCTAATTTTGATAAATAACATCTTCACCTCACAACTGTCCTTGTGGGCTACTGTTAGTAACAATTTTGAAATCTCCCTAGCCCCCACGTCAGTGAATCCAAAGGTTACCTACTCTTACTCAATCCTAAACAGCTAAGGCAATACCACCCTGCTTGTGATTCTTTCCTTTAAAAACCCCTTTCAACTGAGGCCAGGCACTCTTTTCCTGAGCTGCTGTGCCAATTTCCTGGACCGGGTCCTTGCCGAAGCTTGTAACTTAACATTAAACCTTAATGCGTTTGCATCAGTGAGTTGGCTCCTTGGTGGTATTTTTGGGGTCTCATGAACTTGGCATAATAATGCCACAATCTCCTGTGTCTATTAGACATCCTTGGGGCTGGGCAGAACCTATGCCATGATCTCATGTATCTACTAGACATCCTTGGGACTGGGCAAAACCTATGCTATGATCTCCTGTATCTACTAGACATCTTGGGACAGGACAGAACCCATGCCATGATCTCCTGTATCTACTAGACATCCTTGGAACAGGGAAGGGCACCTCTGAGGCAGGACAACACCCAATCCAACCAAGCTTTTGGCTAGCAGGCATGGTGACATGTCACAGCTGCATTCCTTCCTGAAGGTAAGTTCGGACAGGCCCCATGGGGCTCTCCTGTGGCAAACACCCAGTGTTAGGTACCAACCAAGAAACAGGAAAGACTTTGACTTTCAGGGTCTGAGGGGCAGAGGCACACCAGGATGAAGGAAGTACCCCCAGGGCCACATGAGTCACAGACTCCAGTCTTTGCCACTGCTGGCCCTCCCAGCTTCCTGATAGGTCCTTGCCTTTTTCCTCCCCCCCTTTCCCCACTTTTTTTGTTTTGTTTTGTTTTTTGTTTTTTTGAGACAGGGTTTCTCTATGTAGCATTGGAGCCTGCTCTGGAACTTGCTCCATAGAGCAGGCTGGCCTCAAACTCACAAAGATCCGCCCGCCTCTGCCTCCCCAGTGTGGG